GTTACCAACATCTGGTGAAAATTTCATATCATTAGCACCTCTAGTAATATATTTACTGAGAAAAATGGTGACGTGTTCAACACTTATTTTACCCGCTGTATATATGAGCTTATAAACTGGAATAAAATTGAACTCTGAATAAAGAAAAATGTATAAAATATGCATAACGTCAGCTCTGACATTAACCTGACAAGTTAGTATTATGTAATTTTATTCTGTTGGGTGATTTAAGTGACAAAGACTATTTTATTCTATTTAATCAAAAGACAGTTACAGGAAACGGCAGTTTAGAGTTAAAACCTCATCAGCAGGATTTACATAACTAGGTTTTTTATTATTTGGTTGGAGGTTGGAGGAAATGATGAAACAAATCACATCAAAACTTGTTTGCAATTTATTCTTTAAAGTTGATTTTTATATAAAAGTATAAAAACATCTAGTATTTGTATCCCAAACCTTTGTTTTGTTGCTCACACTGATGATTTGATCCAAACCTCATGACCACAGGTGAGGGTTGATCGTAGACAGACCAGTAAATCCAGAGCTTTGCTTTTAGACTCGGCTCTTTCTTCACCACGTTTGACCGAAGCAACGCTCTCATTAAACCCTGAACCACCATCTCCTTCTCCATCCTGCCATCACTACTGAACAAGACACAGATATTTGAACTCCTCAGTCAGTGTAAAAGTTTGACCAAAACGGATAAAACTCCTTTTTAAAGTGACCTGGTTTGTTTCCCAGTTGCCAAACGGAGTCACCTACCACCCCAACACCCATCAGGACCGGCTGGGAAAACTGCAGGAGCACCTCCGGATGCTCTCCGTTCTCTTCCGCAAGCTGCGCCTCGTCTACGATAAATGCAACGAGAACTGTGCCGGGCTGTTCCCCGTACCGCCAGAGGTGAGGCACAAAAAGCGCAGCGATTCACAGAAAGTTTTACAAAGAATTAGAATTTCACAAACACTAATTCATCTGAAAAGATTCTTGTGAAAACTTTTAGGCCACTTTTGAATTTGCTCTCGGAGAAAAACGACTCTTCTTTCTTTCTTTCTTTCTTTCTTTCTTTCTTTCTTTCTTTCTTTCTTTCTTTCTTTCTTTCTTTCTTTCTTTCT